CAATGGTAGAAAATAGCTATGGATTTTCATCCATAGCTATAACTAAGAATGACTCACTTGCAGCTTGGATCATGGAACCCTAGGGCTTTTGCTGCAGTTCGTCTCCATGGTTAGGCCACTTTCCTTGGCTGCCCGACCCCATCCAGGAAGTAGGCTGGCAGACTGGGCATCTGGTCTGACATGTTGGCTTCTGCATCACCAGACACCATGGGCCAGGGAGTCCCTGTAGGAAGCCTCAGACAGTGCTGGTTGCAAGTAAGGAGTGTGGTGTTGGGAAAAGTGCAGTTGTTTGTGCTCATCGTGACTGTTCTCTGTCACTCAGGTGCAGGAAATGGACATCCTCGACAAAATAAGCCCTGCAGAGCGCAAAAGGCAAGAGGTAAAGCAGGGCCTCTGGGATAGTAGTTGGTTGGGACCTGGGCTTAGAAAGAGGTTTTTGGGGGTGCTGTCTGTACCAGTGGGTGAGTCAGTGAGCTGATCACTGGGGACAGGTGCTGCATTTGAAACACCAGTGACTACGACTTTCCTGCCGTGGTGCCATGACAAGCTTTCAGCTGTCTCAGTACCAACAGGGACGCCCTGTTAGCACTCTCTGTCTCATGGGCTGAGACAAAGTAGTGGGCTAGGCAACATGCAAGTGGCATGGGATGGTTTTGCTTGTACTGTGGGTGCTTGGCATAAAGGAATAGGACTGGAGTCAGCAGCTAACCTTGCACTGGCCAAAGAAAAGTCCTGAGATAGGGACAGGTTCCTGCATGGAGGGGAATGGCTCAGAGCCTCCTCTGGCAAGGAAGAGCTGGGAATCCCACCTCCCTTCACTTCAGCATGCACAGAGGGGCCACGCATGGCAGGCTGTCTTAGCTCACTTTGTCTGTACACAACTTGTGGCTGAGATGTTTTGGACCTCACGTGCTTTTTGTCTGCGCTGCCCTGCCCTGCAGGCCATCTTCGAGATCATCACCTCTGAGTATTCATACATGCGCAGCCTCGACATCCTCGTTTGCCACTTCATGAAATCTGAGGAGCTGAAGGAGACAATGACACAGACAGAGCACCACCATCTCTTCTCCAACATCGGGGACATTCTGAACATCAGCAAGAGGTAATCCTGGGGGGAAGGATGTAGTCAGGGCTCCCCAGGGCTGATCTGAAGGGGAACCAACCCTAGCCATGTGGTCTGAGCTCCTGTATAGCATAGATCAGAGGACATGTCTCACTAGCTCCTGCACCAGATCTGTCCCTTCTTTTTTGGATCATATACAAGGTGTGAGCTGGCAGACCCTGTCTGTCCCTGAGTGAGGTGTTCTGCTGGTAAGGGATCCTCTCTGTTTCAAAGAAATCCCTGTTTGCTTGTGGAAAGGACAGCCGTGGGAGGCATCTGGACAAACAGCAGCAGCCCTTTGGGGCGAGTGTCAGAGATTCCTATCAACTCTGCTGTGTATCCTTCTCCTTCCTGCTTGCCCAAATGGTGTGAAGGCACAGGGGCCACCTGAGCACATTGGCATATGGCTACCACAGTCTGTGCTTGCTCTGGTGCCACCAGTGTTCCCATCAGGATACAAGCTGGGGAGGCCTGCTCTGGGCTGAAGAGTGTAACCTTCACTGAGCAGGGGGGGAGCATTCACAAGGCCTTGTGCTGCTGCTGCTGTCCTATGCTAGGCAATCTAGCTCAGTCCTTGGACTGAGCTGGAAAGCAGTGCTGGTAAACCTGGTCTTGATTTACCCTGCCTTCCCCCTCATTCCTGTTCACATGCCTTTCAAAAGTCCTGTTGTGCCAAGAGTCTCCTCCCTCCGTCGCTTCAGCCCTTGGGAGCGGGCATGGGTGGGTCTTGTCATCACCTCCCCAGAATATCCCAGGTCATGCTCTGACATGACTCCACTTGCATCACGGAGGAGCAGAGGTCACCATGAACCTTCCCAGCAGGCCCCAGCTTGCCCTGTGTGGTGTTCTTCAGCTTGCAACTGAGAAAAGCTGAAAAAGAAACTGCTGCACCTTAGACCAGCAGTGCAAGCCCAGGCTTTGCTGCTCGGGAGGGAGGTAAACTGGCTGAGCGCTGAACCCAGAGCGCAGTGGCTGTTAGCAAAGTGGGCCAGTGAGAAGCATAAACAAAGCCGCCCCCGGTCTTGGAGCTAGGGAGAGGGTGTTCTCTGGGCTTGCCGCCCCGAAGAGCCGATGGCTCTGCTGTCTGACTGGCAGCGCTCTGTGGGAGGGCAGGGCTGGGGCATGTGGCGGTCAGAGAGGAGGAGAGCATTTCAGCAGGAAGCAGACAGGGAAGCTCCTGGAGCAGATCACTGAGCCTGGTAGCTGTGGGGTGGGGGCAGGCCGAGGAGCCAGCAGTCCCAGTTCTGACCTCAGCGCTATCGCTGGCCACGTAGCTTTGGGGTCGCCCACAGTGGAGTGGGGTTGGTCTGCTGATTTCAGGGGTGATTTGGGGCAGGTTTGAAGGCAAGTGACATTACAATAATTTATTGTGTGGGTGTTTTGGATTCCTGAGCAGTAGGCAGTTCAAATAACAGCCCTGCTAGTAGGTGCCCTCGCAGCGGGTCCTTTCTGTCACCACATAGGACCTGGAGAAGGTTTGAGTTGGTCAAATGCTGTTTTGTCTCCCTCCTCGCCTAGCTCTCCCAGTGCCATGCTGGGTGGCTAGCTCCTATGCCCCTATCCCACTGAGAACGGGGGTGCTGAGCTGCCCCCAGCTGCACTTCAGGCCGGCCATTGCAATCCCAGAATTCCATGCATCGTCCAGCAGGGAAGAAGGAAATCCATCACCCCGTCAGCTGGAGCCTGGCCTTTTCATGCTGAGCTGGCTTGTGCTGTGTGGGCTTATGGTTTGGGTCCATTTTCAGCACTTTTGTTCTGCGTCATTGGTCCCCTTCCTTGTTGATTTGCTGGAAAGTCCTTTGGAGCACTGTGCTGTGAGCTGTCCCATGGCACGATGCCCTGGGATTGCCCTTCTCCACTGGGCCAGAGGCTCTGAATTCCTCCCTGGGAAGCTTCCTTTCTCTGTGACTGTAAGTGTGGGTGTGGGGGAGAGGCTGCGAGGAAGAGCTAGATGGCAGAGACAGTCGCCAAGCAGGAAAAAAGGGAGAGTTGCCCCTTGGCTTACTGCACCTTCCTCCCCACCTGTTTGCTCTTTGATTGAGGCCCCTGCGCAGTCTCTCAGGGTTGCGGGCTGTGTTTGCCTTGGGTGGTGGCTGCATGTGTTTGCCAGGAGCTGCACCATCGTGACAATGTGGAAGGGAGGATCAGAGCAGCTGGCCTGCTGTTGCCTCAAGGTCCCTGCAGTTCCTGGTGGCTCTCTGTGATAGGAGTTGCTTCTGGGGTTCCTGCTGAGGGAAGATTCAGTTTCTGTTCTCAACCACACTCTGGCTGAGCTTTGGGGACAGCCCAGGGTGCAGAGGTGAATGAGGAAATCCTGCAGTGCGGCAGGGCCGTGAGCCAGAGGCAGCTCTCTGATAATGTGAGGGACTTAGAGACTGGGCTGTGCAAACTTCACACCCAAGTTGCTCTAGCAACTTTCTGGGAGCCTGGTCGAATGGAAGCATCCATGTCCATGCATACCACCAGGAGAGTGGCTTTTCTGCTAGCCTGTGGGCAGGTGGGTGGGATTTTCAGCTACCCTCAAAGCACAAGGCCGACTTACCTTAGCTTGACAGAATTAGCACTTTGCCTCTGCAGGGAAACGGACAGCAGTGGACTACTGCAAACTAGTTCTTCCCAGCTTAGCTCCTGATGCAGGGGCATCAGGCCAGAGTATCTCCTTAGGTTCCAGAATGATAGATCTGCTGTGGCAATGGCCGGGTAGGTACATGGGGGGAGTTTCCTCTGAATAGCTGTGGTACAATAAGGCATTCCCTCCCATTGTCATGCCCCTACTAAGGTCTGCGCTAGGCTAGAGTTGTCAGAAGCTGGAAACAGAGGCCTGCCCCAGAGAAAGCTTGCTACCAGTCTCACTGCCCTGCAGTTGATTCCTGGTTTCTGCACCAGATGCTGGAGCATCAGCTGATTGCATTTGGGAGCTGAGCTTTGAGCAAGAGGTGGTGCACTCTGGGAAAGGCTGAGGCCCCTAGCAGGCGGTGCTCCAGTCCCTGAGTAGTAGGAGAGTGCATTGAATGGAAAGCCTCTGCAATCAGCAGTGGGGATATGAATCCAGGGAGGAACACAAACCTCTGAGGGAGGCCTCTAAGGGAACTGGGTGAGAGAGCACCTCTGGATGCAGGCCTACCAGGAAACTCTTCCAATGATCCAGCTCAACACCTTCTGATGTTTTTTTCTTGACAGTTTTTTTGAGGACCTAGAGAAACGGTACCAGGAACACTTCCTGATCTCTGAAATCAGTGACATCATGGAAAAGCATGCACTGCAGCACTTCCACCCCTACGTCATCTATTGCTCCAATGAGGTCTACCAGCAGAGGACGCTACAAAAGCTGCTGTGAGTCCCATTGAAGGCCTGCAGCTGCAATTCTTCCACCAGTCCAGAGTCCTCAGACTGAGCTACGGAGGTGCCAACCTACTGCAGTCATAGTGTAGTTGGCATGTACTTGCACACACCTGATTCTCCTGTAGCTCAAATGCCTCCTCTTCCTCAAGGAAGCCATTTGTCCCCTCCAGATTTCAGTATGCTCCCTGTTCAGTGCAAGATGCTCCAATGGAAGGCAGATGACTGTGATACCCACTGCTGGTTGGGGATCCCCGGATTATTTAGCATTGCTCAGTTTGTGCGGGGTGGGATATAGGTGAGTGTGAGGAGGGTGCCACAAACCACAAATGATTGAAATTTGGAGGGGAAAATGCAGTGATGTAACTTTGTCTCTTCTTTGATCAGGAGGCTCACAGAGCTGGAGCATCAGTCCCCAAGGCACCTCTATGAGTTGTCTGTTTTTCAAAGTGACTTTTTCCTGTCTTGTACCAAGGTCCTGCCACCCATTCAGATGTATCTGAGGAGGACCAGAACTGTCTACTATACCCATTTCCTTAAGCTTAGAGGAAATCTAATCTTGGCCTCCTCTGAGCCAAACATGTGCCCTAAATGTGACTGAGGCACTGTGTGCTATAACCAGCTCCTTGAAACCCTACAGCCTATTTGAGCTGGGAGCATGGCAGAGACTGTCTTCCTGGAAGGTCTCTATAGTCCAAGCACAGGTCCTAATGGTGGATTCTTATATTGTTTCAGAGCCACAAATCCTGGATTTAAAGAGGCGTTGAAACAGATTGAAAGGAAACCAGAATGTGGTGGCCTGCCCATGATCTCCTTCCTCATCCTTCCCATGCAGAGAGTAACACGCCTTCCCTTGTTGATGGAAGTAAGTCAGAGCTGGCCAGTGACATTCCCATGTGCGTTTCGAAGAGTATGTAAGAAGAGAGGAACTGTTTGCTGCCCCTTTTGTCATCTAGGACAGCAGAGCCCTTGGGATTCGCTACCTGTGTTTTTGGGCTGATGATTATAGCAGCAGGTCAGGTTTTCCTGTCTTGTACGTGAGCCTTTGTCCTGAACTTGAACTCAAGCCCCAAAGCTGGTGTGCTCCATTCCCTGCTCCCTTGAATTCCCAGACATAGCCGCCAGCTGTTTTGTCTGCCATGAAATGACCTTGTGGGGTGTATAGCACCTCAGACCCCTATGGCTGTCTCTCTCCTTTTGGCTCCTGCTTTGCTTTTTCATGCCCCATCCTTACACACATGGGAGGATGGAGCAAAAGATTTTGTCTAGAAAATGTCTGTGTAACCAAGAGGTTCTGCTAAGTACCAGAAAAAGAACAGGGCAGTGATCTCTGGGCAGTGTAGGGGACAGCCATGAGCTGTGCCTGAGCTAGCAGCAAAATGCACCAGGAAGTGAAGCCTAACATTTCCAAGACAGCACCATTTGAGAGGCCCTTGCCAGCTGGGCAGTCCCATTCAGTGACTCTCCAACCCAGCAAAGTCCACGAATGGAAGGAAGAGTGAGGTTTACTTTGTCCTAAACTGCTACTACCTGCTCAGGGATGTGAATGCATGAGTGTCTCTTCCTCCTCTGTGGTCCTAAAGGGGCAAGTATATGGTGTCTATTGAAACACCAAATGAAAAAGAGGCCTCCAATAGCAAATTGGTTGCTCTTCCTAGTTGTGCATCAAAGACCCTCAATGCTGCATGCATCCTGTGTTCATGGTCTTGGGGTATTGGTTCCAGGTGCTCCCAGCAAAGCATTTGCAATGTGACATTACCTTGTTTGCTGTAAGGACCATTTCAGTACTGTTCTCTCTCTACCTTTTAGACTGTCTGCCAGAAAACCAACCCATACAGCACGACGTATGAAAATGCCACCCAAGCCCTGAGAGCCATCAGTAAGGTGAGGCACTGAATCATCTATGCACATCCAGTAGTGGATGATGGGTGCTTTGTACTGGGGTAGTACAACACTTTGAGTTGCCAATAGGCAGATCCCAGGACAAAAAAGGATGTAAGTTGCTCTTTCCTTTCCAGTATGTTTTGCCTCAGATGCACTAGGTCAGTTCACATGGCCATGGCTCCTCAGCTGCACTGTAGGTGACGATTATACTAGTCTCAGTTGTGTAGAATGGCAAGAGGTGCAAACCAATTCCTTTGCCAGACCCTGGGTTAAATCTGTTGTGTATCCTGAATGCAACAGGATCTATATCAGATCCCAGCATCAAACACGGTGGATGGGCTGGAGTTCTCCAATGCCATGGTCACAAAACCAACACATGAACTCGGTGGCTTTGGAGAACTCCAGGCTGTTCACCATGTCCGATGCTTTCTGGCCACAACTGCATCTGATGTAGAGTGCAAGCCTGGGAGCTGCAGCTCATGCTTTCTGACTCTGCTTACAGCTGGTTAAGAGCTGCAATGAAGGAGCCCATACCATGGAACGGACTGAACAGATGTACACCCTACAGACACAGCTGGAGTTTGGGAAGATCAAGGTGAGGAGCCCTGTGAGGTGGAAGCACCCCAAGGCTCAGCCTGGCCTGCTTCACAGTGAAGACGGCCCTTTTAGGACTGAGTACACACAGATGTTGGGGCACTGCCCAAGGCAGAGAGGTGCCTGCTGGGATCGCTGAAATGCCCAAGCAAATAGGCACCAAGCTCCCACTGTAAATCTGTCCCTAGCTTTAGGATCTTATTGGTGCTGTAGTTCAGGATGGGAACTCTTTTTCACTTGTGTGAACCGTTTCTCTTCAAGAAAGCTGCTTGGCTAGCAGTCAGCTGTTTGCACCATGACTGTCATTGGCTGGGAGATGGGACCCAGAGGGTAGGAGTAGCTGCCACCTCAAGGGATTTTCCTATTATTCCTTCCCTTCTTTTGGGAGGAGCAAGGGAAGTGCTGCTGATGGGCCCTGTGTGTGAGCTGGGATGGTGTCCTGTAGTGAACATGGTTATCTCTTGCTCTGCTACTTCCATATAAGAGGGCACATTTTCAGAAGTCCAGCTCCTGGCACCATTCATCACTCCAAGGCATTGTGTCTGCAGGAGCTGCTAGGTGAGGGACACTTTGAAGTATCTGGTCTGAGCATCACTTGTTAGTGATCCTTTCATAGGCAAAACTGGACCTTTGGGTATCATGTCAGACTTTTTCTTCTTTTAGAAAGCTGCAGTTTCAGTCTTTTTGTCAGCACGTGAGCACTGATTTGAAGTGACCCTTCTGGTCTCTTTGCAGCCATTCCCACTGATTTCTGCCTCCCGATGGTTGCTGAAGAGAGGGGAGCTTGCCCTGCTCCATGGAGAGGAAGTTGGGATCTTCCGCAAAGGCCGGGTCAACTGCTACCTCTTCCTGTTCAACGATGTCCTGATCATAACCAAGAAGAAGAGGTAAAGAGGGTTCTGAAGTCAGCTCATGTTACCCTGTGAATTTGTGTCTGTATCAGTTACTCAGCCATGACTTCTGCAATAGCTTGCCCAGTAGTGCAGGGGTGTGTTACCTGATGGCAACTTTACCTTCCAATCAATACATCTGGTTTTGCAAAGCTGGGATCCTAGCAGATCAGGTAAGCTGAAAAAATGGCAGTTCGAAGTGTTTGCGTCTTGGTCCTCAGTCTTGAACCGTTATGAGTTTGTTAGGGAGTGAAGGTATAGACAAACATTACAGTCAGAGTACCAGTATAAGCTGTCACAGTGTAACTGTGCCCCCACATTTCTGTTGGGACACAGGTGTAGCCAACCATTGTGACTTTAACCTATTTCATTCAGGGTTCCAGTTCCAGTGATTTAGCATATTCGTGTGTCCGCAGGAGCCTGCACACACAATGGCTGATGTCTGCCACAGCAAAAAATCCAAACCAGACTGTCTCCCTCTCAGCACTCTGGGGTGAGATTGTTAGTTTCTGGCAGAAACTGGGCAGTTCCGTTGCATATGGAGGGATGGTTCCCCAGGCCAGGCCTGGAGCTGGTTAGCACATTGTAGTTTGGGGGTGAGGTGTTTCATAGTTTCATAGCAGCTAGGGTCAGGAGGGACCTGAACAGATCATCTAGCCTAACCCCCTGCCACAGGCAGGAATGAATGCTGGGTTCACAA